CATAATGATCTATCTGCCCATCCGTCATCCACAAGCCATATCATCTTCGAAAATTCTTTCTTTACTCTGTGCAGTTACATTTAGAACTCTCCTTTAGTGTGCAGTTCTCCAAAATCTCCTTTAGGCCTGTGAAGTTATCTCTAAGAAACTCTTTACGCTATGTCAGTTTCTCTCAGAACCCTTACTTTACGCTGTGCAGATTCTCAGAACTCTCCTTAAAAACCTGTGCAGTTATTTATTTATTTATTTATTTATTTATTTATTTATTTATTTATTTATTTATTAATTTATTTATTTATTTTTTATTTATGGTATCGTACGTCCTCTAAACATTTGTCATAACAAAAAGTAAATGTAAAATTTTTAAATTGTACATCAACAATTTCAATTTCAATGATGTATAATTCGGAAAAACACAATAATTGTAATGAAGAAAATGTACATAGATGAAGCGCGTGACAGTTTCTATTAGAATTGCATCAGTATTTACAAGAAAATCATCAAACGTATTTTTTCTCTAAACTGTTTTTCTGTTTTATGGTGTGTTTTTTTATATTTTAGAAGTGTGTCTGTGTGTTCGTATGAGAGAGTGTGAATGTGTGGTTCTCTTCCCGGCTAGCTTATAACTAGAGCATAAGCTGTAGCTTAAACTGTAGCTATAGCTTATGGACAGTTTACTACCTTTCCCTGCTATGAACCCGGGCATAAATACTTCAGTAGCTTTCTATTACAATCGTCTCAGTTTCAAGAGATGTGCAACGAAAGAAAAGCTTAGGTAGACCAAAATTGCTATATAAGACCCAGGGAAAATATTTTGCTCGCTACTTGTGTTCCTTGTCCTCAGGTGTAGATAATAAATAATACCAGAACCAGTGCTAGCTGGCAATTGTTATATTACCCTATGCCAAATACATTAATTGTCAATAAAGTGTAATATACGTATGGGGGAGAAGTACAGTCTGCACAGGTTATTCTGAGCTCCTCTCCCCGCACTTTTATAATCTTATACAAACTGGAGACATACGAGGCACTACATCATTCTAGAGACACTATATCAAACTACATCAATTGTTACATAGATTCCATTTTTTCGCGAATCGGCCTTCATGAGGTCACGTGACATCCCACCGGAGCTAAGACTTGATAAATCGGGATATGTGCACTTTACTTTCATTAGAAGGAATCAACCTATTAGTTACGATGAGTGATGAAATAAACACATACCAATATTCAGGTCAAGACACACACACCCACACACACACACACACACACAACACAACACAACACAACTCTGCCCGCAGCGGGACTCGAACCCGTGATCCTTTGGGTAGAGACCGCCACTGCACTACTGTCTTAATGATCTCAGCCATCAAATTGGCTACAGATACTTTTATTGGCATTAAAAATATAATTTTGTTAATACTAAAAGTGTTATTTTATTTAACAGACGATTTAAAACACGTATACAAAATAACCAAAAATAGGTCACCAAGTCATTCACTTTTAGTGAAATAAAAATATAGGTTTTACTTAAATATTAGTATAAGTTGCCCTCAATGGTATATCATGCGGCCGATGCATCCAGACGAACATGTTGTCAACCAATCTTCTTCATGCTTGACCGTCCGACTCTTTCAAACCTCTAAACGCCACCACCACCACCACCACAACTGCCAATACACCGCAAGAACACAGCATTGAGTTTGTACCGGTTGGCGTGGAGCCCCATTGGAGGGAGATACCTAGTTGGCGAAAATGCCGCTAGGTCGGCATCGGATTTCGCCATCCAGCGGGGGAATATCACCTTTTCTCCCGTTAAAAAACATTCACCAAAATTAGATTAGATAGATAGATAGATAGATAGATAGATAGATAGATAGATAGATAGATAGATAGATAGATAGATAGATAGATTTACAATTATGTTTACTATTAGAATTAGGGATCGATATCATAGTTCCAATTTATTTCTAGCTAACTCTAAATTCACTTCTAGTTTACATAACACTTCACTACACTGCACCCCCTTCCCCACCACTACCCTACAAAACACCAATTAACATAGCAGTTGATCCACCCGAAAAACAATCAGCAATCAATCAACCTATTTCACACTACCACTCCGTTTTCTTCACCGCCCACACGGACAAACCCACCATAATCGACTCCTCCTCCTCCCAACCGCATTTCCACCGCACCGCAACCGGACAGCGCTCCTTTCTCCTAGGGCAGCGCCCCAGTCGGCCGCCGCTTGCTCGAGATGACGCAGCGCTCCCGAGGTCAAAGAACTCACAGCGCCGCTTCGGGCACAGGACGCCATAATGCGCAAACCATGGCTCTAAAATGAAAAGGCCGTATGTTAATCATATACATTCGTTATTAAAAAAATTCCGTTTGACATACACCGACAAATCAATCATTATGAATCAAATTATTCTCTTATCAAAAAAAATTATAACATTTTCTATCAAACTATGTCCAATGAAAAAATCATTATGGCGATATATCCATTAGAAACAAAGGAATGAAGAGCACAACAATAGCACGTCGGTGCACGGCGTAAGATCCGCGGGAGCATCGGTGGTTCAGTGGTAGAATGCTCGCCTGCCACGCGAGCGGCCCGTGTTCGATTCCCGGCCGATACATGCCCTTCTTTTAAAGAAGGAAACCACCCCCCCCCTTTCTATTGCGGGGGCGGACCTGTCAGAAATG